ACGTTACACCAAATCGAGATTCATTATTGGCTTATTTTCGTCGATCATCACGTGATGGTAAAAATTACATAGAAATTATAGAAATTTTGTTGACTCCGTACGTACGTACGTACGTATATAGCTTATTTTCGAAAATATGGTACTAATTGACTCCGACTTAATTTTTTTAAAAATAAAAAGCAAAATTATAATTGATTTAAATTTTATTTAAATTTTATTTAATATTTATATATAAACATGAAATATATTTAAAAATATGTAATGTTGTATGTATATGTATGAGTGTATACATTGGTTTTACGAGATAAAAAAAACCACTTTAAAATTCCGCATTTCAATGATAAAAAAGGGGATCACGGCAATTATTGAAAATTTTGAATTCTTCTGCATTGATGCAATAAGGAAATATGCTATAAAACAATTAGAAAAAAAATTTCAAATAAAATAATAAATTATTTTGTAAGATTTTATTCAGACAGATGGGATTTAAAAAAAATATTTACCAATTTACGATTTATTTGATTCAGTTCTGGTAATTGTACGCAGATTAGCACACATCACCAACCATCATTATACCTGAAAGTAGCGATTTTAAACCTAAGTCAAATAAAATCATAGGTTGATAATAGGATTAATAAATTTGATTTATTAAAATAAAAATAAAAATAATTTTAATCTATTTACCATGTGAGTCTAGGTATATTATTGTTATATTGATCATAGACGGCTAGATTGTGTATTTAGACGGGTCGTGTATCTATTGTAAAAATTAATAAAATAATTTGAGAGAAAATTAAAAAAAGTTAACTGATAAGAAATAAAAAATTGTATTTACCATAAGAATTTAATTCCAACCACTGTGTTCATTCGAATTACCCCTTTCACCCCATCCGTCATCATTGTTAGCAGTCGTTCCTAAATATAAATGAATAATAAATTGATTTAAGCAACAATGATAAATATTACATATAACAAAATTGTATCAGCCAAACAAACTTTTTTCCCAATCTTTTTGACCAGAAGGATTATTCCAACCTTATCAATGTTATTAATGATAAGATGATAATTACTATATTTGGCTGATATACAATAATAACCAAGTAATTTGATAAAATGAAAAGATACCATTAGAATTACCCCAGCCAGCATCTTCGGCGTTTGCGTCAGATTCCCAAGGGAGGTTAGTTTTACCCGACATTTCTTCCTGTTCTTGTTGTTCAGCCCAACTATTACCACTACCGAAGCCACCTTCTTCAGCAGATTTATTGGAACGATGTTGATCACTATACCGTCTTGTAGGTCTGCGTAAATTGCCGCCACGTCCTCTGCCACGGTCACCAGAACCGCCACGATAACCTCTTGAACCACCGTAGTCATTATTTTCGCCACGGGAATTTCTGGGACCGTAATCATTATTTTCCCGAGAATTTCTTGGACCGTAATCATTATTTTCACGAGAATTTCTTGGACCAGAACGACGATACTCATTATCACCACGGTCACGATCACCACGATAATTTCTTGAACCGAAACCACCGGACTCATTATTACGAGAATTATAACCACCGGACTCGTTATTACGAGAATTATAACCACCATAATCATTATTGCCACGAGAATCTCTTCTACCATGATTTCCATAGTCATTATCATTTCCACGACCATCCTTTACGTAAGGATTGTTAGGAGAATAACGAATTTCCGAGCTTTTTCTTTGTTGTCGTGGAGAATTCCAACCAGCTTCTTCCTTTTCCTTGTCCCATTCTCGAGCATCACGATTTTGAATTTTACGTTGAGCATTTTCTTCGCGTTCATTACTTAGAAA